CGGGTTGGTGGTCAAACCCCGTTATCGTTCAGTGATATTCCTGCGATGCCCTGTCCCAATACTGACACACCATTAGTACTTGATGAGATTACTCTCGTTTGCTTTTGGTCACTGCCAGGCAGTAAAGGCTTACAAATGGTTTCGGCTGTTGTAATGCTTGGGGCTTTAACTTTGTAGTGTAAAATAAACCTTTCGGTTCAGAATTTCTGGAAAATGTTTTCATTCAACAAATATCTACATATCAAGTATCCTTTTGGTAAGGTTTTTATTTTTTTTATTAAATTGTAAATTTTATTTTTCATATATTTTCTAATGAAAATTATTATTTTCAGTTAATTATAATTACTATTATCTTTAACCTAACATATGATATTCCTTCCGGGTTGGTGGTCAAACCCCGTTATCGTTCAGTGATATTCCTGCGATGCCCTGTCCCAATACTGACACACCATTAGTGCTCGATGAGATTACTCTCGTTTGCTTTTGGTCACTGCCAGGCAGTAAAGGCTTACATGTGGTTTCGGCTGTTGTAATGCTTGGGGATTAAATTTGTAGGTTCAGAAGAATAATCATATATGGCTACGATCAGTAAGATGAATTCTTTTGAAACAAATATGCGAAGTATGCTTTTTAATTTTTTATAATTTCTTATTTGGAAACCTAAATTCTAATTTCTTTCTTAAAACTTAGGGTTGATTACTATACAAGTCGAATTTATTTTCCTTAGTGAATGGTTTTATTCTTTTTTTCATGTATTATTAGAAAGTCAATATTTCATTATTTCCTTAATAAAATAATTAATGATTATTTTCATAAAATTCGTAAAATTGCAAATATTATTTCATTTGATTAAAAAGATTTATCAAGTCTGGATAAAAGGTTCGCTCGATAATCATAAGGGACAAATTTCGCAAGCAAAATCTGATATTGATCATATCATTGAACAGTTTGAGTAGCTTCGAAATTTTTTTATGTATTTCAGGATCACGTGAGAGATGTAACAGAATAGCTAGATTTTAGGATATTCATATACACATCTTACTCTAATAAGTTATTAAAATATTTGTCAGTCCATCTTGAAATTTTTTTCGGAATAAAATCATATTTGTCACGAGGTTAATTTGTTATCGCCATAATGCAGGCCAAAGTCACGTGGTGGTGAAAAATCTCGCGGTATACCATTAGCTAATGTAAAAATAAAATTATTTTGTTTGAGAAAAGATTGGCTTAGGTGACTTATTATTATTTTCTATTTATTACATGAAATGAAATTTTACTTAAACTTATATTAACAATTATAGTATGCTATTGATTCTTTTTTAAACAATATTATGAAGTTGTGGCTGGACGTACAGTATATCTTGCAAAATCATAAAATGCTTAAGAATAATTGCGGGAGACAATATCCATATTATTTCGAATATAAAATAAAGCTATTATTTTATGATACCTCCTATAGAGACAATAATAGTTAATAAACTATTCATTTATGGATTCTGACCCTGTATTTTTCCGGCGATTAACACGTCAAAATTTACAAAAATATTTTACCAAAATTACAACATTTCTTTTTACTTGTTATTCTTGAATAATCCTGCTTTTCAGAGCATTCTTAATTCCAATAGCCCAGCTCATAATCGCATACCATTGATTCTAATTAGGTTTGGATAGCTTGTCTTTTGCATCTCTTTCGAAATGAAAAACACAGAAATTTGGCGAGAAGGTGAACACCATGCTTAAAAACCTTTTCATACGGTATGTAAAGCATGCGCAAGCTATTGCGAAAGAACTAATAAATTTTCTAGGCCATTTATTTTGCTGTTTACATTTTACATTTAAAAGTTTGTGGAGTTTTTAATTGCGTGCCTTTTAAATTTATGAAGTATGTGTCATTGAGTATTCATTATACCTAATTATAAATGAAAATTTTGATTCTATTGTCTACAGTTACAATCAACTTTTTGGTATAGAAATTGCGTTATTAATATTTGTTTAACTTCAGTTTAAAGTCTTATACTTGACCTCATATTATAATCCTCTTTTGAGCATTCGAATCATTTGGGGTTTAATTTGCTACAATTTGCCTTACTCAAATTTTTATTTCTTTTAATCCTTTCATTCTAGTTTTGTTCATGCACTCTACATTGGAACAGAAATTTGGGATTTTCTGAAAATGGTATCGGAGATTAAAAGATCCTAGAGGCTTACAGATAAACATCATATATCATAAGATAAAAAAATATATATATATGAAATTATTTAAGAACACACTTGTTTTCAAGCAATAAAACTCTCTCTCTTGGCTTATTTTTTAACATGAATAGTAATTTGAATTGACTAATATTATACATTGCAGTCGGACCTCTATATACCGATATTCTAAATACCGATATACTATTAAAAACTTTATATACCGATAACATTTTATTTACCCACTATACTTGAGGTCATATAAATATCGGTATAATTTGATATAACATTTTTAAAAAAAAATTCTCTATGTCCCGACATATCGTTATATAGAGGTTTGACTGTATTATACAAAATTTATTTAGAAGAACTATTTGGACTCCTGAAAAATATAAACTATAATCATAATTATTTTTACGGTTTTATTCTTATAAATTAATTAATAGAGGTCAGTTGTAATTCATCTTAGTTTTTAAAAGCAATTATAAACAATATGCATTTTTTGATATATGTCCTTTACCAAATTACGTAATAATGTCCATTTTTTTTAAAAAAAAAAGATATCGAAATTTTCGTGTAATTAAATGATCCTAGTAATATACCTATTTTGTAGTTATCATTACAATGTTAATAAAACACGTCAAGCTGTAAAAAAAATTATTGATGAAGAAACTGGGACTTCAGAAAGATTTCTGAAATGAGAGAACGAACTATAAATTTCTTGAAATAAATACATTTTATTATGCAACTTATATATAAAAATTAAAAATTAATAAATTTTATATTTTATTTCTATATAAAAGGAAAAAAATAAAAATCGAAAAATTTATTGCATGTTTCGAGAAATGGTTTTATGTTTCAATGTATAAATCTATTTTTAACTTTATATAAGCATTTCATACTTGAAAATGTATTTCGATAATTTCAAAGATATTAATACAAAGCAATATATTATCATAAAATAACCGTTTTGATGTATTACCATAATATAAAGTAAGACCCTATTTAAAAAATTAGCATAAATACTCGGCAGGTTATAAATTGTTTAGTTTCAACAATAACTATTTGTCATATAATATTAACCCTATAAAAAATTCCTGATATTTGATCATTTTTCTAGTTTTTATTCCGAAGAAACTCAGACACGTGATCATTTTTCTTAAAAATTTTTTTATAGGGTAGACAAATAAGGCCTTTTACCGCGGCAAAAATAAAGTAGATTTTAAATTCAATTAATATGTTCCGTTACCACAGTAATAAACGTAACGTAATTAAATTTAGTACATATCTTAAATTGTACAATAAATGGCACATCTACATTTTTTCTGTTCCCAAACCTTGTTCATATAAATATGCAAGTCTTTTTTGTGCATTATTATCATTTCCTTTAGCAGCTATTTTATATAATTCAAAAGCCCTTTTCTTATTAGCATCTACTACAATTCCATGTTCATAAAAATATCCAACTTTATATTGCGCCTCTAAACATTCTAGATTAGCTGATTTTTTGTA